CTGCTAGGGGAACAAACAGGTTTGTCCTGAAGAGGGTGAAGCCAGAATGCTCCTTGGAGTCAAGGATTCTGAAGCTTCGTCTGACATACTTTGGGCACGTTGCAAGGAGGGACTGGTCCTTGGAGAGGGACATCACGTTTGGGAGAGTGGAGGGATGGCGCAGGAGAGGAAGACCGTTAATGAGATGGATCGATTCTGTAAGTGGAGTGGTGGGAATGAGTCTATTTGAGACGGCGAGGTTGGCACAGAACAGAATAGCGTTTAGGGCTCTTGTACACAAGGTTGCTATGTGTTGCAAGCTACTTGATGGCACATAACAACTACAACAAGAAGTGGTGATTCCAAGACTGTGTCACTGGAATATCAGAGGGTAGACCATCTCCCCTCAAGCACTGCCCGCCCTGGCCACACACAGCAGAGATGCAGCATTCACCCTGCCAGCAGCAGTGAACTGGCAGAGATGCCCACAGCTCAGAGACCCACACCTGTAGCTGCCCCAGTCTCACCTCCTGGCCACCCTCCGGGTTCCTGAGAAGCTCTGTTTCAGCAACAGACAGATGGCCGAGGCGCCTGTCGCTGTGGCAGTCCTGGGTGTATTCGTGAATCTGTCACAGGCAGAGCCTAGGCTTAGCAGAGACCAGACACAGGTGCCTGATCTGAGCTAGGCTGTTTCTTGGACCCCAGGGCCCAACAGGATGGTCCCTGTAGAGGCAGGGACCCAGAATGTCCCAGGCTCAGTTATCAGGTAATGCCACTTCTGTGGTTTCCTCTTCACTCACCTTCCCACAAGGGTACAAAGTACAGCTCTCATCTGCTGATGGAGTGTCAGGGGCCATGAGGGGAAGGGGTATCCCTGATCCCCCTACTATGGAATACCAAGGGCCATAAGTAGAGGGAGAACCCCTGCTCCCACCTATTACCAGTGGCCATGAGTGGAGAGAGTGCCCCTGCCACCCCAATGGAACACCAAGGGCCATGAGTAGATGAGGCACCTCTGATACTCCCAAGGATTATCAGGAGTCATGAAGGGAGGCAGCACCCATGCACCCCCAGCTGATAGAGGGCAAAGTGCTTTCTGTGGGGGTGAAACAACTACAGGCAGGCACTACAGTCCAGTGGAGCCGATGGAGGGCACATGAGAGTGACTACCTTGGGCTAGGGACCAGGGAGGGCACCCCAGCTGAAAGGGCAAGCAAGTGGGGAGCATTCCACAAGGGAAAGCAAGTTGGAGGAGGAGGAGCAAGAGGGAGTTGGTAATCCAGAGAGGGCCAGCAAGACCACAGCTGAGGACGGTCATCTGCTGAGGCTTCCCAGACTCAAGGAGCTCTTTCTGAAGCCCTAGGCTGTGCATGGGTAGGGACCTTGGCCACCTGTGCAGTCCAACTTCACAATGAACACAGAGCCCAGACTCACAATGACAGCTGTGCCCTCAGCAGCTAACTGCCCTATCAACTGCAGGGACCCTACTGCTTGCAGCACCGCACTCCAAAGAGGACAGCGTGTGCCCACCATGGGGAAGGAATGACAGAGGCTCCCCATGCTCAGCACCTCAGTCAATGCCTGGTTTCACTAGGCCTTGAACATGGAGGAAACAACCTGGCCCGTGTGAGCACAGCTGAGAAGGCCACCAGGAACCTCGTCCACAGTGGACTCCAAGGTTCCTATAGGGTTCTACCTGCAGAGGGCAGTTAACAAGTTCCTGTTCTGAGGATACCCCAAACCACTGGTGGGAAATAAGTCAGTGTGCCAGGGCACTGGCTCCAGCACAGGAACCAGGATTCCTCTCCTACTGCCTACAGCAGCCCCACTTGGTCAGCGTAACCAAAAGTGTTCTGCAGATACCCACTCACCAGAGGCAACAAGCAGACTGACCACATGGAACAGGAGACAGGGTGATGCTGCACCCAAAGTCAGAATCTCCCCACAGGATGTGCCCTCATGGGATCCCAGGTACCATCAGTGGCAGAGGCTGGGGTCTCTAATGTCTTCTCAGGGGCAGCAATGCTGAAGCCTGGCTTCCACTGCAGGGTACCCCACCACCAACCCAGTGTGCCAACCCAGGGCTCCATACAAGGACAGAACTGTAGCCCACCACACATAACCCAGGCTGGGGCCCAGCTCTAGTGGCAGGCACAGACAGGGAGGGGTGGAGGAGACCCCTTGGGGAAAGGTACAATAAGTCAGCTACCTTGCTCAGGAGAGCACAGTGCTCCTCATGGCTGGAGATGAGGTACCGCCACCTGAACCGCAGCTTTCCCATCAGCCACTGTACAAGGCGGACGTCTACAGGGCTGCCAGTGTCCTTGTGGGCTTCAGTTGAGTCAGAGCTGGCCCTGCCAAAGGCTAGGTCCTCACACTGGTATGCATAGAGGAGAGGAGTGAACACCGAGGCAAGGGAGCTCCGGTGGAGACCCACTCTGGAAATGGCTGGGGTGGACAATCTCATAAACTGGGGTCAGGCCAGAGTGAGTCTGAAAGGCCGAGACCACCGAAGGCTCCAGCGGGGGACCCACTAGGCCGTGGGACCCGCACCCACCTCGCACGCGGGCATCTCGTCGCCCAGGTGCACCCGCTTCCGGGCCAGTAGCGATTCGAGCAGGGGCCCGCGGGCCAGGAGCCAGGACAGGGCCAGCAGGAGCTCACGGCTGGACTGGGAGCCATCTTCCGGGAGCTGAGAGAGGGCCGTCCGAGGATAGCCCTGGGCACGCAGCACAGCCTTCACCAGGCGGACCTGAGCCTCTGTGGGGGCGGTCAGCTCAAAGGGTCAGCGCAAAAGACCCCATCACCCCCTAGCACCACCACCACCCGCGGCAAGTCCGCCCCAAGCAGAGGTGCTGTGGGCAGGACAGGAAGGGGACCAGGTGCGCTCCTGCAGGGTCGGAAGGTGAGGAGCGGGCTAAAGTGGACAAGCAGGTCAGGGACCAAAGATGTGGGCAGCAATGATTAACTAGGGCGGGATTTGCTGGTGGGCGTGGGTTCGTTGGGTGGGCGGGGTCTGATGGCTGGGCGGGGTCTGATGGCTGGGCGGGGTTTACTAGGTGAGTAGGGGGGAGGTCCGCAGGGTGGGCGGGATTTACTAAGTGGGCGAGGTCCGCTGGGGTCCGGTGGATGGGCGGGGTTCGCTGGTTGGGCGGGGTGGGGCCTGAGCGGACGAAAGAGGCCAGAGGCTGAGCAGAAGGTTTACAGTGAGCAGTGGAGTCAGGGGCAAAGGGGGACTTGATGGGGGCGGCGTTACCAGAGATGTGGCACAAAACGAACAGCAAAGAGAAGGGCGGAGGGGAGAGCCAGGGGCAACATTGACCAAGGAGGTGGGTGTGGTCACGTGCACGGCGGGGCCGGCTGGGGGGCCTACCGATGCTCAGAGAGGAGGTAGCTTCATCGTCAGGGTTCGGCGCGAGCACGTGGTAGAGCAGCCGCCAGAGCGCAGGGGCCTACGGACACAAAGAGCGGGCGGTCAGCGGAGCCCGTCTCCCCGCGCTCACCAGTGCCTTATTCCCGCCCCGCAGGCCTCACCGCCTCCGGGAGGTCGAACTTGGCACGACGGAAAGTCTCGGGGCTAATTCCGGCGGGAAGCGTCCGACTCAGTGCAGCGATGGCCTTGGGTAAGGTCCTCGTCCCGGCCCCAGCCACCTGGCTGACCTGCCGCCGCCGCCCCATGCTGCCCGGACCAGTGTAACTCAGATCGCCCGCTGCCGTCACCGCCGGCCACCGCATCCAATCACCGCTGGCTGCGACCCTACATACCATCAGTGCGCCCAATCAACACCGCCTGTTTTCCCTACCGCCCAGTCACCGCTGATGATTGACACACCGTCCCGCCTCTGCGGCCCCGTATCCAATCAGCGCCTAGGATTTGCTCTCTGCGCCCAATCACCGCGGCATCCGGGCCACCGCATTGTCCTTTTGGCAGAGCTTCCGGGCCGTGGGCAGGGGCGGTTTGGGGTAAAGTCTTGAACACCTTGTCACCGCTAGATCCCCGGCACCGCATCTGTGAACAGAGCAGTGGGGACGCGCTTGGGGCGGTTTAGGTCTCCTTGGGCCCCGTGCGCAACCATAGGGTGAGAGGCCAGGGCGAGACCTGGGCATGGAGGCCGGCCACTCTCCCAACCCGCAAGTCCCCAGGCTCGTGTCCACAGGCCTCCCCTGCAGCCCTTCTTCCTGCAACTTGGGCCCTTCATTCCTCCCGTTTGAAAATAGACTGACAGATTTTTCTATGAACTGATCGTGGGTTTGAAACAACACTCTTAGCAATACTTGTCAATTGCATACCGCCGAACCTACTCAAGATAAATGCAGGTGGCAGTTCATAGCTGTACTTATACCAGCGAATACCGTGCACCCCAAACTTCCGAGGTCATGAATTGGTAAACAAAGTGTTCGATGGACACAATGAAAATGAGCAAAGCACTCTATATGTTAAAATATCGGTCGAGGGAACTTGTTGAGAATATTAAAAAAATAAATCTGTTAGGGAGCTCTGGTGGACTAGTGGCAAAGAAGCTGCACTGCAATCGCGAAAGTGCGCAGTTCGAATCCACCAGATGCTCTGCTGGAGACGGAAGGGCAAATTTCCTGTGCCAGCCGGATCCTATTCGACGGTAGACAAGAAGAAAAGAATCTGTTGTGATGGTCGCACATTTGATAAAAATGACTGGCTGTTCGAGAATGCCTTTCAAAGGCAGGTAAAGTTGCCTTGGTGGGACTGTAGTATCCCAATGACTGCCAAAAGGGCAAGTGTATCTTGGAAACGGTGCAGTTAGGCAGGGTGCTTATTGGAGACAAGGATGGTGAAACTTTGTCTCACATACTGTGGGCATGTTGTTGTTATGTGGCGTCGAGTCTTCTGCGACCCTATGTACAACAGCCCTAAACCCTGCTCTATCCTGTGCCAATCGCACTGCCTCTGACACACCCATCCCAATTACCCCATTCACTGAATCAATCCACCTCATAGAGGGTCTTCCCCTCCTGCACTGTCCCTCCACCCTCCCAAGCATGATGTCCCTCTCCAAGGACCTGTCCCTCCTTACAACATGTCCAAAGTATGTCAGACGAAGCCCCAGAATCCTTGCCTCCAAGGAGTAGCGTGGTTTAACCCTCTCTAGGATGAATCTGTTTCAGTATGGATTGAGGCTCAATGTCAAGAAGACAAAGATTCTCACCACTGGGCCAATTGGCAGCATCAGGATGGGTGGCAAAGAGATAGAGATTGTTCACAGCTTCAGTTTGCTTGGCTCCGCGGTCAACACTCTTGGCACCAGCAGCCAGGAAATCAAAAAACGTATTGCGATGGGAAAGTCTTCTGCTGTTAGGGACCTCTCTAAAGTACTCAAGAGCAACGGTGTGTCTCTGGAGACTAAGGTGCGTCTGATACAGGCCATTGTCTTCGCAATCACTTGTTATGCATCAGAGAGTTGGACAATGACCAAGGAGGATAGAAGGAGAATTGATGCCTTTGAGCTGTGATGCTGGAGAAGAGTATTGAATGTACCATGGGGATGTTGTTAGGGAAGATTATTCCTTGGAAAAGGACATGCTTGGAAAAGTGGAGGGTCAGCGAAATAGAGGAAGACTCTCAAATAGATTGACACAGTGACTGTAATGGTATTTGCATGGCAGAGATGGTCAGCAGGGTTTAGAGCTGTTCACAGGGTCACTAGGAGATGTAGCTGACTCACTGCCGCTTAATAACAGGGCTGTTGAAGCAAGCCTCCCCACTGAGGCTCCCAGTCCCTGAGCCTTCCCTACAGCCCTCCTTCTCCAATCAGCCCTCCTCTTCCCCGTTAGTATGCAGCCTGCTCCGTCTCTGTCAACTTTTTACCAAATGACCCCTTCCAACTAGTCCCATGCTGCCCTCCTCCCGCCTGTGTGAGTCTTGCTGCCTGCCCTCCTAACCTCCACCTGCCCTCCCTTCCAGCGTCCATCTTCCCTGACGTTCTCCATACTGCTGTCCAGGGATCTTCCAACTATACAGCTTCCAACTACACAGCTCTTGTAGCTGAGGATACAGACCTCATCCCCTACTCCTTCCACTTTGGATCCTAATACCATGAAATCCTTAAACTCTAAGAGCCCTTTCCCTCTTGGACTTTGGTACATCCAGGGCCTTCTGCTCTACCCTGCCTCACGAGGCCTTGCCACTCCCACTCATCAGTTCTCCGAGCACAATCCCGAAGGCTGCTCCTCTTTGAGCAGGGTGGAGACGCCTTATCCTGGCTGCTCTCCCAGCTCAGTAGACATCTGTCCTACTGCTCCTCACCATGCAGTACCGACTCTGGCCACCAGGTGTCATCTAAGTAGGATGACACACACCCCATATCCTTCCCACAATGCCTCTCCATCCATCACCGTAAACACTTGGCTCCCCCACATTTAGAATGCCGCTATCACCCGTTAACCACCAAGAACAAATGTGCATGTGTACACACAGATTCTGTCCAGCTCAGACTTCTTGAAGGACCCCCACCAAATCCAGAACCAAGACAGCACCTCAGATCCTGGCAGAGTCGGCTTGCAGCTGCCAGAGAAGAATCTCAAAGGCTTAGAGGAGGCCTATGAGGACTGTTGTTGCCTGCTGTGATGGGGGGGGGGGGGGGTCCAAAAAGGGCTCCTAATCATTAAACCACAGCCAGTATCTCAAATCTGGTGAGAGAGATGGCAAAGGTGGGGAGTGGCGGCAGCAGCATGTCTGAGTGGGCAGGGCCAAGATCTCTAGTCAGCCACCACCTGCCTCTGCAGAGGTGGGGGCAACAGGAAGTGGGAAAGGGGCAGGCTAGTCCCCACCACAACCCCTAGAAGAGGCTCAAAAAGGGAACTAACATGAGCTGCAGCTGACTCACCCATGTACCTCCCAGGCCAGGCCTTCCCCTGCTAACCTCATCTATCTCAGACCCACCAAGGTGGCCTGTGGTCTCTGCCTGTATGAGGTTGTGGGCTTCAAGCGTCTCCCCAACCTCTGCCCAAGGCTGGCCAGCTCCAAGCAGACAGCAGGTGATGCCTGCTGCAGCAGGGACAGTGGACACCCACAGGGGCCCACTTATCCCAGCACGAATGCACGCACCACACACAAGCACATGCATGTCACACACACGGATGTACACATGGCCTTCAGTGTGTCTGGAGTTTATTGACAGCGTGAGTGGGTACAGAGAAGCTGCTGACACTGGGGGTCAGGGCTTGGCATCTGCCCCTGGAGGGGCAGCAGTGTGGCAGTTGGCTGGTGAGAACAGAGAAGTGAGGGCTGTGCTCCCTTGAGCATTTCTCCAGAAAGGCTGAACCCTGGATCTACTTGAAAGTGTGGCTCTCAGCTCCTCCACGCCCAAAGCCTGCAGAGAAGAGGTCACAAGTTAGGGCTAAGAGGCCTGTGGGGAAGGCTGTAAGGCTGGGTGGGAAGCGGGTGAGGAGCATACCTTTGGGCCCAAACATGGCTGCATAGCAGGGGTGGTTACAGTAGGGCTTGCCCTCATGCTGTGGAGAGAACGGTGGTGAGGGAGGCTGTGCTCATGCCCTGCACCCCAGCCCTCAATTTCCCCACCTTACAGTGGCCCCGCACCCCTGTGCCCTGCACCCCAGCCCTCAATGCCCCCACCTTAGGGTGGCCCTGCACCCCAGCCCTCAGCGCCCCTCACCTCGGCATGGCCCCCAGAGGTCAGTGTCTTTCCGCATTTCTCACACTTGAGGCAGGGCCGGTGCCAGTCCTTGCCCAGGGATGTCACCCGCTCAGCTAAGGAGCACAGGCCCTAGTGAGACCCTGCTCATCGCCTGGTGGCCCCCACACCCTGCCTCCGGGTCACATGGGCCTGAGACCTGGGCCACCACGCAGACATTCTCCCGGCCAGTCCCGGAGCCCAGTACAGACTAAGGAACAGGACGGGGAGGGTCCCGGACCAGGCGGGTGGGCAGAAAGGGGGAGTGAGGGGAGCCACCATGGGGTCTGGGGTCAGGCAGTCTGGATTTGCAGCCCATGGGGCGGGAGGCGATGAGCTTCCCGCTTCCCCGCCGCGCCCCGTGGGTGGGGTCGGGCGCCAGCGACCTCTCCCTCCCGTGCGAGGGCGGAGGGGCCCCGGGCGCTGGTTTCCGCGTCTGTTTCCACTCAGCGCTGGGAGGGGCGGCGGAGCACGCGCTCCTACCTCCCCGGGTCCCCACCCAGAGCGGGCCCCAGGGACGGAGGGGACAGGAATCTGGGGAGCCCCGTCCCCAGTGAAGCAGAGACCGGGAGACACCGAGTGATAGGGAGAGGGGAGACCCCAAAGAGGGACCGGGAGCGGGACAGGGTAGGCAGAGCGGAGCAGTAGGGACGCGAAGAGGCCCCAGGCGGACAGGGAACACCCGATGTCACAGGCGCGCGTCTAGGGAGGGGGTGACCGCGCGGGCTGTGGTCTTTGCTCCGCTTCTGGCGCCCAGGACTCGTACCCCTGCCCAGCTGTGCCGGCCGCCCGGCTGTGCGTCCGCGCCTTCGCCCCGAGCCTTACCGAAATATACCTCCTTGTCGCACTTCGGGCACTTGGGCATAGCTGCGCTCGTCGAGGCTGCAGGCGCGGGGACAGGACAGCGCGGGGTGCGGGTCCTGCCGGGTGCGCGCCTTTCAGGGAGCCGAGGCCCCGCCCCTCGAGGCCCCGCCCCCAAGTCCCGCCCCTTGAGTCCCGGACTTGGACCCC